AGCAAACGAGGTATAAGAGCAATCAGAAGTAGGATTAGTTAGCAAATTATTTGCTTACCTCTTTACATCCTGCTTCTGCAGAAGAACCAATGAGGCAACCATCTTTCCTAGTGTACGTGTGGCTAGATGTCACTTCGAGGTCTGGATTTTCGTATCGGTCTAGTGGACCGGTCCAAGAAGCAACGGTTGTGAGTTCGGTAACCGGATCTCGATTGACAAGCATTCCAGAACCTAATCCATTGGGCAAAGAGACACGTGAGAAGACACGGTTTCCAGCTGAATATTCGTGTTTCGAGGGGAGCCTGTAGGAGCAACGGCCGAGATAGGGACTTGCCTCTGAGCCAGGAAGGTTACTTGTCTCAGCTAGCTGAAGCTGTTTTAAAGCATTTTTGGAAACAAAGAATTAGTCATCAACATTTATGAAAAAAAGAGCTCAAGTGGGAAGGGGAGCTGCTTCAGCCGTTTAGTCAGTTCAGGTGATGGATCACTTTGCATCTTTGCAATTTCTGAAGAATCTTCAGAAAGTATGTGATTTGGTTAAGTCTGTGGAAAATTCATCAAGTACATGATGAAGAGATTCCTGGGTCGATTTATCCAGAGAGACGACGGCTGATGCCCGTTATACTGCAGCCATTTAAGTTTGATACGACGTTCAGGGTAACGCAGCCAACGAGACATCTTCCCTCGTTTCGGGTGAAAATGGTCTGAGCTTTCGATCGTCATACGATGAATGCCATTAGAGCTAAGGATCATTCTTACAAGCCTCAAGTTAATAGTAAGTCAAGAAGACTGGACTGCGTCAACATGAAGGTCGTATTAAAGCCAAACGGCTGCAGTATAACGGAAATCAGCCATCGTCTTCTGGTGAGATTGACCTTTGAATCTCTTCATCATGCACTTTAATAGGAACTAAAGTCTCTACAACAATGGTATCTGAGGCGGTTAATTAAAACCGACTTTTTTCGTATATATAAAATTAGCAAGATCCAGACGTCTATTTGATTCGGATGTTGGTAAGCATATAAACTCCAAAGACAAAGAGGCCCATCAATGAGCTCTCCGTTTCATGTAGAAAGGATTCGAAAACTGACCTAATCGTAAATATTTCTTGAAACCCAACTTCACATTCTTTTAGAGGTATCCCATTAGTGCTAGCAGATGAGTAAGTTGATGCCAATGTGGCCAAGATATCTGCTTCCTCAATCAGATGACTTATATAATTATAATACAATGCATTTTCTGTTTTGTGTCGTCACGTGTTTTGTATGCATATAATTCCCATAAGTCGTTAAGAATACTAGGGCGCTAACCAAACACAGGGCTTGATGGTTTTACTTGGTGGTTCTCCTGTTCCCTAATTTTATCAAACAGCCAGTCCTACATACACTCTTTCTAATCAAGATATAAGTTAGATTATTCATTTCCAGTAACTTTTTAATCGTCTTTGTAGCTGAAAAGCCTCTCAGCCGAGCAAGATACTGGATTTTAGATCATGATATCCGTTCTCCTGTATTAGCCGTATACTAAGTCAAATCAGATTTCTTGATTCACAAACATTTGCAAGCGATTAAGATAAAATCGTGTCTATGTAGAGGGCCCCCCAAATATGATAACACATAATCGCAAGACCTTGTAAAAGCATAGACCGGAGTGAGACTCCAAAATTTATCGCAAAGGAGGCATAATTACGAAAGTGTCCCTTTCTATACAATCTTCTAATGTTTTTCTTACTCAGTAGTTTGCCTGTCCCTTTATACTAGACAGGATTTCAATAGGGTTGCTCAATCCCTCTCTCCCACTAAAAAGGCATTTTGCCGTATCCTATTCGTGATAGCATTTTGTTGCAACCAGTATTAATGGCCAAATCTCCTGAAAAATTATGTAAGATGAAAAAGGCTTATTAAGCCACGAGAGCTATGTTCTCTCGTGGTTCAAGGGCAACGTGTTTGTCTTGTCTTAATTTAAGTTCGCGGCTCAAATCTAGCTAGAAGTGTTGATAAAGCGAGTTTTAAAATGCAACCGGTTTAGAGAAGATAACGGCCTGTTGAGATTACTGGAAAAAAGCAAGTGATTGCAAAAATAATACATAATAACCAAGAATAATGGAATAAATCACGCATTTTGCCTGGCAATAATAACGGGAGAATAAAGATGATAGTAAGTAATATAATTTCCGTCAGCTGATAGGCATGTCGAGGTACTAGACAAAAATATCAAAGGAAACTTAGATAAGACGATATGGTAGTGTTAACGATAGAAAGAAAGCAGTTGTAGTTACAGATATGAAAAATCGAAGATAAAAAAGCCGTAAGCTTAGGACTACAAAAAAATTAAGTATCCTAATGAAACCCTGGAGCTTAGATCAAATAAATACCTACAATATTGTATAGGCAGTGAACTAAAGGAATGTAAAATAAATACGCTTTTTAGAGAGATATTAGCCCTCAAAATACTTATTGTCTATAAAATCTATAGAAGTGATTCAACTTAGGATCATTGTGTATAATAGAGGTTGTGATGTATTAAACAATAGTAACCATTTTAGTAACCATTACTAACCATTTGGAGATACTATGATAAACTAAGGTAAGAATTAAGTGTGACTTTGTAGAGCTAATAGATGAGAAAGTGAGATAAAGTGGAAATATGTGTATGGCAGAGTCAATTCCATGCCGCTACACGGGATCACTACCTTTAGACTAATTTAAAATTTACGTTTGGTAGAGAAAAATGGAATTCAAAGCTTCATGTAAAAAGAGACTGAAGGGAAATAATTTTTATTATTCGTTAGATTATCATATATCATAGAGTTATGCTTTCACAATTACGGAAGTGGATTAAGAATTTCAATAAATCCCTGAAATGTCATATTTCCATGGAGTAGGTGAACAAATACAAAATAGGGGGGACAACAAGATTATGCCTCATATCCGTATGATTAAAAAAGAAGTTCTTTTTTTGCTGTATGACTTTTTTTACCTTTCTAATAAGTTATCAATCACAATAAGACACAGAACACGTCTGTAAGATTAGCCTGTTGCAAGTAGTTGATTCCTAAAGGATATTTTTTAGATAGGGGATTTTCAGACAATTTTAAAGCTCACGCTTATCTTTCGAAAACGGTACATACAATATAAAATTATGAGAAATGGGTGATATCCAATAAAGTAAGTCTCACGTTAACACTAGTGTTAACGTAAGACTCTTACAAGAATGGCATCCAGCTCTGTTGATGTCCATCATATGATGGACGAGAGCTCAGCACGTTTTTACCCGAAACGAGGGAGGAAGTCCCGTAGACTGCGTCAACATGAATATCGTATGAAATCCAAACGGCTGCAGTACAACGAGATTCATCCGTCCTCATCTGGTGAGCTCGACCAATGAATCTCTCCTTCATGCACGTTCATACGAAATGAAGGTCCCCCTAACAATGTTATCTCAGGAGATTCATTGAAACCAAGTTTCTCTTCGTATCTACAACCAACTAGCTCTTATGGTCTCTACATAGTCCAAAGCCGAAAATGGCAGCAGCACAAATTAAATGAACAAACAAAAATTGAGCAAAGTTGTATAAAAGGATCCAAAGACAATGAAAGGCGTTTAACTAGCAACAGTTATCCCCAGGGGTCAGGTAAAGAAGAAAGCAAGAGCATAAATAAATTTGTAAAAATAAAAAATTCAGGCATCTTCAGCGAGAGCTATGAATTAATTTAGTTATTTAATCCAAAAGAGTGCTTATAAAAGGTCAATTAAATGGACCCACAAGAATGAATTAAAGAATAAGGGCAAACGTGGGTCAAGAAATCTATTCTTAAGACGGATGTTTCTAGCTAACAGAGGGCCTTATTCAACTCAACTATAACAAACTTAAGCAACAATCGGCCCGTGCATGCTTGTTTTGATTAACATACATGGAAGGTAAATTATCAGAGTGGCCAAATAAATTTAGGTCTCGGGTCGTTTAGTCCTCATGTAAATAATATATGCAGTAAATGGCTAGGGTGGTGGTCGGATATCACTTGAATGGAGTCATTGTCCGGCAACTTAAGAACTGATAAGCAAAATACTGCAAATAGGCCACAGGACAAACACGTCCTGGGACGAATAGGTTTGTCTTTTGAATACGGCTAAATATTCAATGGGCTGCAATACGAGGACTAATATCAATTGGAAAGATATATGAAAAGCTAACGTTCATCTTTTAATCAAAGATATGAAGACCAAAATGGTGTCGTACTCGGTATGGTCGCAGTCTCCTTTCGATTTATAGAAGTGGAAATTATGATACCTACTATAGCAAAAGACTTCAGAGAAGGTGCATTCAACTAAGCTTCCCTAAGAACAATAACAATTTGTTAAAACGAGATCAACCTTTATCTTTTAAGGCCACTATAACGCGCTGTAAAAATGAATTGATGCGACGCTTAAATGAGATATAAACTCTCATTTCCTAAAAGTAAGAGAAAAGATTTTAAAACAATGAAAAATGAGAAAAATTGATGATTATATGGAGTATAAGTCCAGAGCTAGCACGAAATGTTAGTAATAAACATTTAGAAGGTAAGTTATTATATTATGGATGTGCTTAATCGCATGATGAAAAGATTCATAGATGAGAATTGTAGCTCAGACATAGTATAACATCGCTTTTTTGCTACTATATTTGTCCATGGAACACATTCAAAACAATTTTTTTAGGCAAAATCCTTAAGTGATATGAACTAAGTCCAAGGCTGTAAATTCATTATAGTTTGTGGAGAAATACCTTGATCGGGAAAAACTAAATATAATATTTTTCCAAATAAAAATAAGTCATTAATTTAGTTCCATTAAGGGAGAAATTCTAGGAGAACAAAGAAAGGATATTTACCATATTAAATGCCAAGGTAAAAAGTAATAATAACTAGGATTCCAGGAAAATGAACAAATTTGAAAACAAGTTTGCTGACTCACAGCTTGACGAATTACATCCATCGGATTATCTTGAGTTCCAGTGGCCCTCTGCTCTGGATGGAGCTTAGGAGGATCGCCAAGAGCTGATAAAAGGGATATTTTTCCGTCGATCTTTTGAAATGCTAGCTCCTGCTCAATTTCGAAGTGCTTTAAACAGGCACGGGCTAATTCTGCAGAAGTTAAGGTCAACTACAAAGTAATAAAATATATCACAAGATATAGCATTATCAACAGATAAAAACGCCTAATTTAAAGGACCTCGCAAGAGAGTCCGGAACATTTACCCAAACTTATGTAGTCGAATAAATAAAATGA